AAGAGAAAGGGGGGGGGGCTGTGCCCCACTGCCCTGAGGCCCCTGCAGCTCTGCCACCCCCCCAGGGCTTCCCAGGGACGTGGGACCCTCTGGGGATCCGCCACCGATAAGGGGGTGACTGATCAGCATCACCCATTTCTCTGTCCCACCCCACCCCTGCGACACCCTCCATGCCCACAGTCACCCCAAACCACCGCTGGGAGCAGCTTCCCCCTCCCAGAAGATGTTTCCTTGACGCCAACAGCACCCAGGCCCAGTGGGGCACCCCACGGCTTAGTCGGAGTCGCTGAAGTCACTGAAGAACATCTCGTGGCCATAACTCGAGTACCGCAAGCCTGTCTCCATCAGGGTGAGAGCCCATTCCAGCATGCGGAGCTCCTCATCCTCCTCGTCAGAGCTCTCCGAGGAAGAAGGGCTGAACTCCTGCAGCACAGGAGGGAGGATGAGCCCCGGCCTCGAGCCGCGCAGTGCTCCCCCAGATTGTGCTGCCCCCCCACTTACAACCGGCATCCTCGACCGCTGCCGCCTGCGCCGCGGCTGCCAGCTGGCGGGCAGCTCGTGCCGGTAGATGCAGTCTGACTTGAACGGGCAGCGGCCACGGTTCCGGACAAAGAACTTGCACCTGATTTTCCTGTGGGATTCAAAGCACAGCAGTGAGCGCAGCTCCCGGAGCAGCACAGAGCCCACGGCGCCACGCACTCACCCCGTCCGCGCCTTGAAGGTTTCGATGAGCTTCTCCTTCTCGCCCACGTCCGAGACCCAGTATTTGTGGGGGATGTAGTAACTGGAGGTGACCCGGCACTCTGGGCAGGCCCTGGGTGAAGGTAATGGGTGCAGGTGGGTCTCCAAAAAAGGGAGCAGGGAAGCACGGGCTCAGCACCCATGCCGAGTGGTCCCACCACCAGCAACCCCCGTCCCCATCACAGCTCCCAAGTCGCTCCAATCCCGAAGCTGCATCTCGCCAGACCCAAGGAAGGATTTTGGGGTGCAGAAGGGGTGACGGTGACCAGCCTGCCGTGTCCCCATCCCCACTCACTTGATGACCACGCTCTGGAAGTCCCGGCTGCGGCGCCACTTGCGGATGCAGCCCACGCAGTACGCGTGGCTGCAGTTCGGGAGGATCCCAAAGAGCCGCTCCTCTGGCAGCGGCTTCTCGTACACCCGGTCCATGCAGATGCCGCACACCACGGCCTCGCTCCGGGCCCTCAGCACCGCGGTGGGGACCGGGGCTGCCGCAGCGCCCGGCGCTGTGGGGACCTGCAAGCAGAGCAGCACAGCACTGCAACCCCCCGGCTCCATCACTGCCCCGGCCTAGGGGGCTGACACGGGGTGATGGGGACCATCCGCATGCAGGAGACCCCCAAGCCCACCTCTGCAGGGTCTGTCCACGTCGCTGTCTCCACCGCTGCCTCTCTGGTGTCAGGAGGATTTGGATCCAGTCCCAGCCCTTGTGGCTGGGAACCTGCAGGCAGGAGAGCTCTCAGGAAAAGCGCGTCCCACCCCATCACCAGAGGGGTGGGCTGGCTGCTCACAGGGCACAGGCTTAGCAGTTAAGGTCCCCACCTAAAAAAGCTGCTAGGAGAGCTTCCGGCAACCCCAGCTGGGCCCTGCCCAGAGATGGATGGAGGAGGATTCGGGTTGAGGGCAGACACATGCACAGGATGCTCCCACCGTGACCCTCGCCCCCCCCAGTATCCTCAGCCCTGCTGGTCCGCAGGCACTCTAGCACCTACCTGAGGCACCCCGAGCTTGTGTGGGGAGAAATTCTGTGCTGGTGGCCCCATGGGGGCTGTTATCAGGTGCTGGGATGTTCTCCTTGTATTTTTCTTCCTCCTCAACCTCCGCGCTTGGGAACTTGAAGGTCACGTGCGTCCCGCTGGGGACAGGGTGGGCTGAGCCGCACCGGGCTCCCTGCCGGCCCTGGGTCACTGCCGCAGGCACGCTGCCAGGCTCCGAGCCCCCGCGGCTGGGGGGGGCAGAGGT